TAGACATGACTTTTTCTAATTGATTATAATTTTCGTGAACAGGATGCAACACTGAAGTGCCGAGCATACATTCACCAGGTGGTTCAGTTTCTCAGCACCTTAGAACAAAGCGGAAAGATTACTCTTGCAGTTTTGGAACAAGAAATGTCCAAGTTGCTAGATGATGTAGTCATCTTTAATCCTCCAGGTTTGTATTAAAGAAGTGGCAAATTACTTCAAAGCTGTCAAGATCGGTTATTCTACTGCATGGATCGTTGAACATCTGTGGCTATGTAATTACTTGCATTACTACACCTCTTATGGGCAGCTGGGCATGTTGCTTTGGTAATGTGTGTATATATAGGTGGTATATTAGCACAAAACAAAAATATGGATGTTACTCTGTAGAGCTGTTGAGTGACAGAACCAACAGGAAAGACAGAGGTTATGTTGGGAGTAAAACTGATGGATATGCAGGAGCTTGAGGTATTCTTTTCTTCGTTGTCTAGTTTTTTTTAATCTTTTCTTTTATTTGGCGTTTCAAGAAGGATGACACAAACAGAATCATAGAATCATAGAATCATAGAATCATAGAATCATAGAATCATAGAATCATAGAATCATAGAATCATAGAATCATAGAATCATAGAATCATAGAATCATAGAATCATAGAATCATAGAATCATAGAATCATAGAATCATAGAATCATAGAATCATAGAATCATAGAATCATAGAATCATAGAATCATAGAATCATAGAATCATAGAATCATAGAATCATAGAATCATAGAATCATAGAATCATAGAATCATAGAATCATAGAATCATAGAATCATAGAATCATAGAATCATAGAATCATAGAATCATAGAATCATAGAATCATAGAATCATAGAATCATAGTTTTGCCCAAAGCCTCATCCAGCCTGGCCTTGAACACTTCCAGGTATGGGGCATCCACAGCTTCTCTGGGCAACCTGTGCCAGTGCCTCCCCACCCTCAATGTAAAAAATTTCTTCCTTCTATCTAATCTAAATCTGCCCTCTTTCAGGTTAAATCCATTGACCCTTGTCCTATCACTCC